AAAAATAAAAGATCCTCCAGACTCAAATAACACATAAAACGGATTTTTTTTTTGCGCGGCCCAGTACCAATTGGTCCACGGACCAGTACCGGTCCGTGGACCGGGGGTTGAGGACCACTGATATAAAGTACTCGGGGACCATTTCGCTACATTTAGCAGCCAAATACGGGACGGTTCCGTATTTTAAGGGACGGGTTTTGTCCTGTGTCGGCTTCAGCTCTCGGCTACAGTCACATTGTCAGGTCAGTTGCTACCAGTCACTAGCTTAGCTCCAGGTTCATTTGCTGCCTGCTCGTTTTGGACTGTTTGGGTCTGTCTCATCATGCAAAATTTAATGCTAACACACATGCTAATGTTAATGTTCATGTTAACATTCACCCTAACGGTCATAGGTTGTCAGTCTGAGTCTAATAACTTTAGAGAACATTTTTATCAAAATGCTATGAAAGCAACAGGTTTGATGCTAATGCTAACGTCTCCAGCTGTAACACGGTTGTGTGTTGCAGCTGGAGATTTGAAGGTTATAAATGTTTGCTTACAGTTTCTATCAGGGAGAGGTTACTCCAGAGATCACTGAGGTGTCAAAGTTCATGGAGACGATCCTAAACGACTGCTCAGAGGAAATACGGGACCCTGACCGGGACCCCGCTCCAGATCCCACAGAGGAGGCCTTCCTGGTCCTCAGGGTGAGCGAAGCTCCACAAGCATCGGACGTAGAGCCACACCAGCTGGTGGAGTGTGATTCTTCCTCTCCTGCAGGTTGTTGGTGTTATGGGTCGGGCCATGCAGGACGCCAGCCCATCACTCATCTTCTCGATTCTGCGATGCATGAGGAAACCAGATGTTCCCTTATCCAATCAGAAGGCAGCTATCCAGGCCTTCAGGCTGATGGACATTACTGCTGAGGTGGAACTCCTCATGCATCAAACATGATCTGGGTTATTTGGCTTTTTAGCAGAAAATGTTGCTGTTGTTACAAGAGCTCTGAATATTTGGTCTGGCACAGATTCGGCGCTCCCTGCTGGAGACGTACCAGGACCCCCAGAGTCCTGCTGACAGACGCCTGGCAGCGTACCTGGTGCTGATGAAGGACCCAGACTCCGGCCTCATCAGGGAGATCTGCAGTGGCCTGCTGGACGAGAAGGATGGGCAGCTAAAGAGTTTTGTGCTCTCTCACCTAAAAAACATCCAGAACTCTGGTGATAAGAAACCTGAGTGAGTAATCAGATTACATCTCCAAACATGGCCGGATTCATATTTATCAGGATCCTTTCTGAGGATCTTCTGGTTTTGGTAGGAGGAAATCATCAATAAATGCTAAAGCTAGACTGACTGGAGTAGAGCACAGAACACCTGAGATATGACTTTTGACCTATTCTAACCCTTCCCTCCAAGACCCTTCAAAATACTGGACCTTAAATTTAACCAGAACAGCCTTGCTCTCCGCTAAGATGTTCCTCCAGTCTTCACTAAATGAATATTTTAATTGTTTTCATTTAACCCGGTTGATTGATCCTCTGCAGGTCCGGTTGTTCTGCTGTTGAACCCAGGATGTTGGTGGGACCTCCGAGTCTTTTAGAACCCAGTCAGACTTGGCAGTAAACAAGCTCCAGGCTGATTATAATTTAATCTAATCATTGAGGACAACAATCAGTTCTGGTGCTTCTTCCAATCCTTTGAGTCCAGTTCGTTGTTTTTTTTGTTTTGTTTTGTTTTTTTTTAATGCTAAATAAATTGTAATGTGCCCATTTCACTGGGAGGAACTGATCGTCCAGGCGGTGAGATGGTTTCTAAACGTGATGTCTCTGTGTCCAGACTCAGAGAGCTTATTGGGGCAGCTCTGCAGGACAAACCGTCATCCACCAACACCATGTTTAATGGTTTGTCCAAGAACTACATGCTCAGCTCCCCGCTGGGTTCGGTCCAGAGCAACGTCATCTTCGACAGCGGGGACACGCTGCCCAAGGAAATAAAGCTGGAGGCATCTCTGAAGGCCTACGATCGAAGCGTTGATATGTTTGAGGTTGGTGACAGCAGATCAGTTCTTCATGATAAAAAAAACCCAGAAAGAGAAAGATTGTTCACCAGGAAGTGTCCTTCCAGGTTGGGCTTGAAGGAGCAGGATTTGAGCCGACAGTCGAGGCTCTTTTTGGGGAGAAGGGTTTCCTACTCGAGTCTTTCTCCAGGCTGATGAAGTTTGTAGGGGACAGAGCTCCGATGCTCCGAGGAGTTTTGGACAGGATTGCCCCTGGTCCAGGCAGAAAGAGGAGACAGGTGGCAGCAACTGTTGGGGTCATCGCCTCATTAAGGCTTCTGTATGAGGATTTCAATGAAGTCAATGCTGCTGATGTCTCCTCAGGTTCCCGAAGTTCATCTGAAGGCAATCAAAGACCGCTTCCGGCAGCTCCTTCATGACTTCCAGGTCTCTGCAGCTCCTGAAGCCACTGCCTTCCTCCGGCTGCTGGGCGATGAAATCGGCTATATGAAGATGAGTGAAATGAGAAAAATGTTCAAGACTCTGTTCATGTACTACCATGTCTTCATCAGAGAACTACCTGCACAGGTCAGACTGGCTTCACTGACTCTTTACCAAAATGACCCAGTCAATAGATTGTCTCAACAAACCCGACTATTCTCACACAGATCATCTGCAGGTAGAGACGTCTTGTTAAAGCCGAGTAATGACAGAAAGGAAAAGTTGCGGTTCCACACTAGGTGGGAAAACTTATGGCTGAAATGCCGCCTTTCTTCTCTAGTGGTTGAAAGGCGGAGCTGCCTTCAATGTGTTCTTGACCTCCACCAATAACTTCTGCTGTGATTAACTATGCAATGTTTCATGCTTTGATCATTTACTCCATGATGTTAATTTGTCATGGTTTGGATACGAAGCAGCTGGTTTGGTTGATGGAGCCTGATTTAGAAGTTACCTTTCAGGTAGAACAGTGTGTTTTTGAAGATAAATATTTAATTTTCATAAGATTTTAAGACTCACCTGGCTGACCTTACACTTCCCTCCTCCAGGCCAAATTTTATCCAGAAAGTTGTAGAAATACTTCAGTATTTATTGGGATGATGCACTTCTGTTTTAGGGACTGTCTTAATTTATCAGTCCAGGATGAAAATAGTCAGGCTACATTTCTGAATGTTGTCATAGTCGCATGATTTACAGAACTTTTGAAAGTATGTACCCCCTTTCAGAGACCAGAACGAAACTAGAACATTTCTCTGCCTTTCATCTACCTTGTGTTGCGTCACCATCAGGCCTTCTCCAAGCTGACCTCCAGCACCGAAAACGAGATGTTTCTCCACTACGTCTTCATGGAGACTTCCTTCTCTCTCCCCACTGCCTCTGGTTTTCCTCTCAAGTTCTCCTTGTCTGGAGTGTTTGCCGCCGGCGCCAGAGGAGGCCTGACCCCCTCCACAGTGGTAGAGCCTGTTTTCTTCATCATCAGGATTTCCTGCTTCTACATGCTTCACATGCTTCTTTCTTCCTTTCTGCAGACTGGCATGTCCTTCATGCCTTCAGGAGGTCTGGAGTTTATCACCCATATGGGTGTTCACCTTCCAGACTACGTGGAAGCAGGAACTGAGATGCTGACTAACCTCTACCATGAGAGCTCATTTCAGGCCAAAGTGACTGTGAAGAAGAACCAGGTTGAACTGTCCATCCCAGCTCCAAAGTCCAACCGTCCACTGCTCAGCGTCAGGTCAGCAGCAGCTCTGATGAAGCAACTGAAGTTCTTCCTCTGGTTGGTGTTCTGGTGTTCATTCTCTCTTCTCTTGGTGTCTGGATGAAGCAACAAGCTGCTATCCATCTCATCCGGACAAACTAAGCCGGTGCCATCTCTGGTGGAGGACCGGGTCGACCTCACTGACTGCCAGCCTCTGCTTAAAGGACTCAACCTCTGCACAGTGGTCAGCTACACCAACACTTCCTCTGTGGAAGAGGCACCTTCCTTCCCTCTGACTGGAGATGCTATGTAAGATGAACCTCTGCTCCAGACACAATGGCTTCAAGAAACACACATTTATTTAATTTTACCTTCTATTAAATTTTACACAGATAAACTAAGAAAGTCAAACTGTTGTCACTCGTTGAAGGTTTGCAGTTGAGCTCCAGCCCACAAGGAAGGTTTCCGAATACACGGCCTCCATCAGCGACGAGACCCTGAGGGAGGGCAGAAAGGGCCAACACAAAGTGAAATCCCTAAAGCTCACCCTGAGGGCAGAAGGTACCGGTCCACCCACTGATGTAACCGTTCAGATGGGCTCATTACATCTTGGATCCAGAATCTGAAACTTTCAGGACTGACGGCTGCAATGCGAGCCGTCCTCTGGGTTCTGATGGAGTTAATGGGGTGTTGCTGCAAATGCAAAACAGTCCAGTTTGAAGACTACCCATTAGTCCTAGTTGCAATAATAATAAGTATGAGGATGTCTGTCTGAACTCTGTGGTCCCTTAGGGCAGTGTTTCCTATCCCTGGTCTGCTCTGCATGTTCTAGATGTTTCCCTGCTGTAATTTATAAGGTGATTGTAATTTGTCTGATTCGGCTGATTGCAGTTCAACAAACGCCTGTCAACTGAAATCACCTGTCTGAAACAAAGAAACACCTCAAACATGAAGGGCAGTGTGTGGAGGACCAGGGATGGGAAACGCTGCGAAGGGGGTTTGGGAGTCACTGGGTTATTGTCATCTACGGTTTTTGAACAACTACATATTTTTTAAGGTCGACTACATCATGATAATAGTCGAGTCGATGTCGACTAGTCGCGGTGACGTCATAGTGACGTAAGCGCAAAACCCTTCACAACTACTTGGAGGCTTTATCAGCTATTTTCACTGCAAATATTGCCCCCCTCCCCTTCTCCCGCTTTTACTGAGTCTATTATGCAGAATTAAAAGAGCAATAAACAGATCATTCTTCGTGAGCAGTGGAGAAAAGTTCGTTGCACAAAATCGGATCTGACTTTTTTTTTTCCAAACACTGACTCATACTGATGACCTCTGGACAGCTACTCATATAGGAGTCAAATTATCACACTGACCACAACGGTGCTTTTGGAACATCACAAACCAAACTTATGAACGGATCCCGTTTGGTTACAGTTGAATTCAACGAAGCCTCCTGCTGCTCCTCCTGCTGCTCCTCCTGCTGCTCCTCCTGCTGCTCCTCCTGCTGCTCCTCCTCCGCCCGATGCGCATTTTATTTATATTTTTATACAATTTCAGCTTTCTGACGAACTCACCTAGTCCACCTTTCATTTCCTTGGAAAAATCTGTTTTGTCATGTGATTGCGACTAGTCAACTGGCCCAGAAAAAAGTCATTGCAGAGAAAAGAATCGACTAATTGGTGCAACCTCTATTGTCATCATGATCACCACCTGCTGGTGCTCCACAGGTATTACAGCAGTTTTTCTTTAAATGGGTGGGAAGAACTCCTCCTTCAGGCTGCGCTGAGGTCATTTCTGAATATTAACATCGAATCTCCTGTCACATTTAACTGGAGTCAGAGACTACAAACCACGTGGACTCGGGATTTATAAATATCCATAGTAGTGAAGCTGTGGCCTAAAAGCTAGTAGAAACCTCTGAGCAGTTTTCTGACAGACGTCTCGGAGTCAATACATTTTATTTTGAAACTGCTTGTTTCTATAGTTCTGATGAAACCCAAGAGATGAGTTAAAGTTTTTCTGCATTTAGGTGAAGAACCAACGGAGGCTACTGCATCTGTCAATTACAACCAGAATGAAAACACCTTTTCCGCTGAGCTGCTCATTCCTGCCTGTGACGTGGAGGCGACTGTCAGCCTGGCTGTAACCCGGATGGATGGAGACGGGCGGAAGACGAGACACTTCAGCATTGACGTGACCAACAGGAACGTCACACTGTTCTCTCTAGCAGGACGTGCCAGGTCAGTCCCTGAAAACTCTGCAGGAAACCAATGCTCAGCAGTTCATGGTGCTCTGCTGCAAGCGTCCATGCTCTTATCTTAAATGCAGACATGAAATGATGAAGGAGGTCATGATGCAGCTCCAGATGGACATCCCGTCTCTGGAAACAGATGCATCCATCACTGCAACCCTGAAAAATGAGGAAAATGTGCTGATGGACTTGGAATCAGTCCTTCACCTCTCTGCAGCTTCATTCCAACAGAAAGCTTCTCTAAAATATGGTATTTTTCACTGGTGTCTGAATTATTCTGGTTTTAAAACCTTATATTATCTGCATAGTGGAGTATTGTTTGGATTTTCCTTACTCAGATGAAGATAAAGTCCAGCTGGAACTGAGAACAGACCTGACTGCAGAGATAAAAAAGATGATTCCACATGCAGAAGATCGTCACATGCAGCTCCAGAAGCTCATCGATGATATGTTGGAGCAGAAAGTGGCAAAGACTGACATGAAGCTGCGTCACATAGTCACCAAAGGGATCGAGGTTCAAATGTTTATTCATGTCAGCAAATATTTTGTTGTTTTTAGTCCAGAAAACTCTCAAGTGTGGCAGGCCGTGTATTTGGTATCTGGTCCTTCAGTGGGGTTTACTGGTTTAATCCACCTCTATAATGTTACAATTATACAAGCCACCAATACTATAGTGAAGGTAAGGTAGTTTTATTTATGTAGCATATTTTCAGCAACAAGGCAATTCAAAGTGAACAAAAACAAGGTTTGGTATTACAAGTCTGTTCAGCATAAGGTTATCGGGTTTCCAAGTGCTCTAAATGGACCTGAGTGACAGCACGGACCCTAACGGCGTAGTATCCACAGCTAAGACCTTATGGACATTTCATTATGATATATTTTCATATGTTCACCATTGTACTGCAGCAGGATGTTTATGAGACGCTCCAGAGAGACAGGGGAGCGTGAGAGAGGGCTACATAATTTATGCAGCAGTGTTTACCAGTTAACCTACTAATGATTGAGAGTGAATACTGTAGTTATTAAAACAAGAAATCCAGTTTGGACTACTCCAAACATCTACACTACAGCCTACGGTGGTAAAAGAAATAAGAATAAAGCATATCATACTCACTTTCTGAATGTTTAGACAAACTCCATCCTCCTCTCTTTACACAGGAAAACCTCAATAAAATTATAGAGTTGACCTCTTTCTTTGACAAATTATCATTCATTTGTCTCTGAAGGCAGGCAACAACTGGCTGGACAAACTGATGACTCAGTTCCCTTCTCTTGCAAATCTTCGGAGTAAGAGGAGCATCTCAGACCTCATGTTGCCGCCCCTGCCTGAGAAACTGTTTCTGCAGTTGTAAGTCTTTCAAACAAAAATCTGAAGTGTCTTAAATATCAATAATAATTTCATTCCATCTCATAATTTGTGCCTGATTTGATTTTAACAGGGACAGTTTGTTTCGATACCAGTTCAACAAAGAAAAGGCAATCATCAGTCTCCCTCTTCCACTTGGAGGCAACACATCAGAGGAGCTGAATCTTCCAAAGACTTTGTCCTTTCCAGTCATAGAGTTACCACAGATTGGGTTATATATCCCAGCTAAAAATTTTGTACTCCCATCATTCAGAGTACCAACCTCTTTGGATCTCTCCATTCCTCTTCTTGGACTGGCTGAAGCATCGGCCAAGATCCACAGCAACTTGTACAGCTGGGAAGGGTCGATCTCTGGAGGCAACAGCACTGTAGATATTCCTAGCTACATAGCACGGTACAAGGCCATGGCTCAGTCCCCAATACGGTTACTTTCATATGAACTTGAAGGTAAACTCTCTTTTTAAAACGGTGTATTGTGTTGTTGAGGTGTTTTCCTGAGGATACTAAATACCAGGTTTCTGTATATTTTCTCTCTGCCTGCTTCTAGGGGTTGGGATGATATCAGGAAGAGCTGAAGACAATCTCAAGTATCTTCTCAACTGTTCTTTCAGCCACATCTTCATTGACAGCAGCTTCAGCATTACTGAAACCTTAAGAGTGACGGAGAAACTGAACGCTCAAGCCAATTACAAGTTAGAGGCCTTCAGTCCGTTGGGCCTTCAAACCTCTCTCCACTACTCTGCTCAGTCCACTTCTACTCTGAATTCGGATGAAGTTTCAGGAGATGGTGATCTTACTGGACTACTCAAAATAGCTTCTTTTCACACCAACACCTCTTATAGCCACAGCTACAATCTGCGTCCTCTGGCTCGAGAAGGAAGAGGAGAGTCCATCTTACGCTTTGACTCCCCCTTCATCCAGTTTCAAAATGTGATCCGAGGACTTTATGCAAACTCGGAGTTGAATATTGTATCTAAAACCAGTACCCAGAGAGATGTCTTTAAGCATGTCGCAGAGCTCAAGTACAAAGATGCACAACTGTCCCTGAAGTGCAGTGCTGTTGGGTTGGCATTGGGGAAATCCCTAAATAACATTGTTGAGCTTGGTGTATCAAGCCGGATGCTAATCATCAGAATTGAGTCTCAGGCAGACGATGACAACAGTCGGGTATACTCACTCATAACTGGGTCCCTGGGTTCAAACGGGCTCGAGGTTAACTCTGAAGGCTCCCTCACCTTTGAAGTGGGTCGGGCTTTGCATAAAGCATCTGTAAGAGCTGGAAGAGATGGTCTAAGCTTCAGTGGAATCAACAACATTCAGTGCAGCCCTGTCACAGTGGAGAACATCTTTGATGGTGCAATTGATGTCAATGGAGCATCCTATTCCTCATCTACCAAGGTGATGGCTGAGGAAGGCAGAGGAGAACTTGGATTTGGAGGTAAAATCACTCCTTCAGAGGCTTCTTTGTATGGTGACCTTAAAGGTCATGCTTACGATGCAGCCACAGCAAACAGCATAAATGTTGTGCTGAACAGAAGGGCCCTGACTTTCTCTGGTAACATGAAGGGAACCCTGAGGCAGATGTTGACAGAAAACAGCCATAAATTGACCCTCACTCTCTGGACTTTATCCCTCCGGTCCAAGATGGAGAACTTCATCTGTGAAGATCTTTACTACAGGCAAAACTTCAAGGTTGATGCGAAACCATTCATTCTGGGAGTTGACATCAACAACAAACTCAGATTTTATGACCTCAATTTGGACAAGGAAGACCACATGAAGCTTGAGCCCCTTAAGGCAGATCTCAGGGGAACACTGACTGGAGCTTTCAGAGAAGAAGAAAATATCAAACATACCTATGAACTCACCTACAAAGATTGGTCAGGTTCAATGAAGTACAGTACATCTGGAAACATAATGGATGCACATTTAAATCATAGCTGTGAACTTGAATTTGCTGGACTTTCCTCCAACTCAAAGTGTGAGGCGAAGTTAAGTTCTGAACCTTTACGTTTCAGTGGATACCTTCACATTCAGGCATTGCCTTTTAGTCTGGCTATTGATTCATCTATGGACAGTGCTGGAGAACTAAATCTCCATGGGAAGCACAGCGGACAGCTTTTCAGCACGTTGTTGGTTAAAACCACCCCACTAGCTCTTGGATGGTCACATGACTGCCGGGTATCGACCACTCACAGACTTCCTGCTAGAGAGTCTTTAACTAGCTTCAGCAACAAGTTTGAAGGTCTCTTAACTCCAAAAGACCAATCTTTGGACTGGAAAGTGAACTCCAAAGTGAACAACCATGCCTATGAGCAGAGCATCAATGCTTACAATAATCCTGAGAAGGTTGGACTTGAGTTATCAGGAGTGGCCCTAACAGACCTTCTCAGCAGATACGAGGGGTCTAAACCAGAACCACAAACGTTCACTATGGCTGGCTTCCTAAAGTACGACAAAAACAGTGACTGTCATATCATTGAGATCCCGTTCATTGAGAGCTTTCCTGAGCACTTTAAGATGACGGTCATCCGAGCTTTAGAATCCCTCCGACAGTTAATAGAAAATGCAAACATCAATCAGATCATCACTGACTTCAGAGCCAACTTAGATCAGCTGCCAATACGAGTGAAGAGATTCATGAGAAATCTTGACTTGGAGAACAAAGTTGGTAAAATAAAAGAAAGACTTGATTACTTGATCAATGAGTTCACTGTAACAATGGATGACTTGGAGCTTGGTGTGACCAATATGAGACAGATCTTAGAAAAAAATATTGTAGACATAGTTACAAAGGTACATGACTTCATCTCTTCATCTGAGGACTACATCAATGCTGGGCATCTGACCGATAAAATAACGACCATATTTTCATATATTGGAGATCAGCTTCATGCCTTTGATGCAAAATACCAAATTAAGCCGTGGCTTGTGAGAACACTTGATTTCATGGAGGATGTCATCAGACAAATGGACTTACAGAAGCTCAGGGAAAGCAGTGCAGCATTTCTGCATGATCTTGATATAAAATATGACATCCTGGAGACAATCAGGGAAAAACTGTCTGAGCTGAAAAATAACCTGGAGGATTTCAACCTTTCCCAGTTTGTGGAAGTTGTGAAGAACTTCTTGTTGTCATTTGACTGGGATTCGTATGTGCAGCAGCTTTCCTATCAAATCCCAGTGTTAGAGATAGCAAGAGTGATGGAATCGATGAATGAGGTAATCATCAACTGGTTCGATGAATATGAAATCCCCAACAAGCTAAATACAGTGTACTCATACTGCAAAGATACTCTTTTAAAATATGAAATTGATAATATTTTCAAGGACCTAATGGATCAAGCAGTGGTTCTTATCAGAGAATGGAAGATTGAAGAAACTGTGCAGTCAATCGTTACAGCTCTAAAATCCATCAAACTTGAAATTATTTACAATAAAATGATGGACTGTCTAAACAGTGTGATAGACAAGATGAGAGAAATTGACTTTAAAAACAGCATTGATGACTTTAATGAATGCATTTCCTCAATAGTTGAATCAATGAAGGATTTTGACTACAGCTCATTTGTTGATGAGTCAAATATTAAGATTGTTGAACTGACGGATTACCTGAACAATGAAATCAATAAGTATGAGATTGTGAAGAAGATTGAGGCTGTTAGGCAGTTTTTCAGAGAAATTCAAAATTCTATCTATACCTATCTGGATGAACTGAAAAACACCAAAGTGGCCGATGCCTTGAAGAAGGTGAAGGATGTGATTGACACTGCGTTTTACAATGATGTCAAACTGAAAGTTCAGGACATTCTGGAGGACATGAGGCAACGGATTCTAGACATGGACATTAGAGATGAAATCCAGGTCTACCTCCAGAGAGCAAGTGACTCCTACAGAAACATAGTTACCTTCTTTTCTGCCCACTTTGATGGACTCATGGAGTGGATGAAGACAATGGCTAGTGATAAGGTTGTTGACCAGATGAAGCAGGCGATGGAAGGAGTTCTGGATCAAATCAAAAGAGCTGACATTGAAGTCTCCACTTTTACTGTCCCTTTTACAGACCTGGAAATACCAGGATTCACCATCAACCTCAATAAATTGCAGGAAATTACCATTCCAGCCCAAATATCTGTACCTGAATTCACCATCCTCAGTTCATGTACCATCCCTGCTTTCGTCATAGACTTGAATAAGATCAAGACCAAGATAGTGGCAATCATTGATGACATCCGAGGGTTTCAGATTCAAATGCCTGACCTGGAAGACATCTTTGGCAACTTAAAAGTTCTTTACTTGTCTGAGCTGCCAGACATCACCTTCCCAGACATCGTTCTTACTGAAATAAAATTTCCAGCTATTAGCATTCCCAAACTAAATCTGCAGGACTCTGGGATGGAAATGCTTACAAATCCTGATGTGACATTTCCAGAGATTCCCACTGACATTTGCTTCCTAGTGTTTGGAAAACTCCATGGAGAATTTAGTCTTTCTTTTCCAAAGTATGTTCTTATTAACAAATTCAAAATTGAGAATTCTACTACAGATTTGTCAAACCCAAAGTTTACAGCCATATTTACTTCTCATGCTAAATCACCAGTCAAAGTCTTGGAGCACATCTTTGAAGTCGAAACTCAGCTGGAGGCTCCAAGAATGGAGAGCCTCCAATTCACACAGACCTTGAAGGCTACACACGTTGCCTTCTCAGTTGACCATGAAGGATCTCTGGCACTTCTTGGTTCTCCTGAAGAGAGTTTTGCCAAGTCTACCACCATAGTCACCACTCAGTTTTACACAGCTGACCTGGTTGGTAGTGTAGTTCTGTCACTGGAGAGTGGAGTATCTGCAGTAATAGAAACATCTTATAATCACAAACTGGACATCCCAACACTAGAAGCTTCCAGTCAAGCATCACTGAAGCAAAGCATGACAGCAAAAATGGACCCCTTTGGGGTTACTGTGACTGGTGAAACTAGCGGTACTGGGAAGTGGTCCATTCAAGACTTCTTTGATGAAGGTACCCACAGAACTAATGTAGAACTGAAAGTTGACTTTAACACTGCAAAGCTTACATGTGTAGGAGACATAGACTACCAGGCTTTGAAGTCAAAGCACACACTGACTGTTGAATCGGCCCTCTTAAGCCATATTGCTGTAAAAGCTCAATGTGAGTCCAAAACCCCATTTGCGAAAACCAGCATTCTGTTTTTAAAAGGAGAGGCTGACGTTGCAGACCTGAATGCTGCACTGATAGTCTCCCATGAGGCTGAACTCACTGGAGGTCTGGCAGGAACCATGTCCAACTCCTGGGAATTCAGAGCCCAGCCATTTGAGATTATTGTTGATGTTAAGAACAAGGTGAACTCCAAAGTTTTGCTCCCCCTAAAACTCACCGGTAAGGTGGACCTTGAGAATGATTATGGTGTCGTGATAAACTCGGAGAGGCAGAGCACATGTTGGTTTGCTTTAGTGAGATTCAATCAGTACAAATACAGCCACAACCTTACAGCAGAAAACGATGAGAAGAACATCTACCTCCAGTCCAGAGCAGAGGGAGAGGCTAATTTGGAGTTTCTGACCATTCCTCTCTCTATCCCAGAAATGACTTTATCTTATTTCCAAATCCAGACCCCTGGGCTTAGAGACTTTTCTCTATGGGAAGATGGTGGCTTGAAATCCTGGCTTATCAACCCTCAACAGTTATTTGACATGGACCTGAAGTTCCAGTACCACAAGAACCCAGACTCACACTGCTTTGAGTTGCACCTTGAACCAATCTACAGTGCAATCAACGACAACTTTGAAATCATCCAGGGTCAATTTGAAGCTTGCAGAGACAAAGTGGTCACACTTCTGAAAGATTCATACCATGAAGCAAGAGCACAGTACATCAAACACAAAATCAACACATCCAGTCTTCCACCAAAGATCTTCAGGGTCCCTGGATACAAAATTCCCTTTCTGGACATCCAGGTCTCTGCTTTCAGAGCAGAGATGCCAGCATTCAGTTACTTTGTTCCAAAGGAGGTCAGCACAGCGAGCTTCAGAGTCCCTGCTCTGGGATTCTCTGTACCGTCCTACACCTTTGTGCTCCCATCTTTCAGGCCTCCTATCATCCATGTTCCAGAAACTTTGGGTGAAATCAGGCTGCCCAGTTTCACCCTGCCTGCTGTACAGGACATCGTGGTGATCCCAGCAATGGGCAACATAACCTACGACTTCTCCTTTAAATCCACTGTTATCACCTTGAATGCTAACGCAGGCCTTTACAACGAGTCGGACATCATCGCTCGCTTCGGTGCATTGTCTGTGTCTGTGTTTGATGTTCTGAATGGAAAACTGGATGGGACCACCAGTTTGACAAGGACGAGGGGATTAAAACTGGCTTCCACTGTCACCTTAGAGCACAGCAACATTAAGGCCAACCATGAATGTTCTGTTAGCCTCACCAAGAGGAGCATGGAAACTTCTGCAGCCAGCTCTGTAAAGATTCAACTTCCCTTCTTCCAAATGGAAATGAGTCAGAATCTCAGTGGGAACACCAGAACCAAGCTGAGTCTTGTGTCCAAGAAAAAGCTGAGCTACATGTTTAATGTTCCCCAGATTGCATCTGTAGGCAAAGGAAGTGTTGACATGACCTGGAACCTCGAAGCACTGTCCTCTCATGTGTTACTGGAATCTTCTGCTCAAGGAAAGTCAGACATAATGACAGTGAACATGTTTGATATTGCAGGCAATCTGGAAAATAGGAAAACCTTCCACATCAGTGTTAATGGTCTGCGTACCACCAGCCAGACTTCCCTGAGCTTAAAGATGAACCAGCAGGAGAAGAGGAAACGAAGCCTAAGCCGCAACCTATTCTTGGTTGATTTGGAGAACACAGTCGCCTCTGTTGTTTCCCTACGCCAGGTTTTCACAACAGTTCAGTGTAAAAGCAACAACAATGTTCAGATTAGACATTTATCCATGAGTGGAACATATGTTGTTGGGGCGGAGCTGGATTTAGTTCCTTTAAAAACTTTCAAGACTAAAGTGAAGTGTGAAGCGGATCAGTTGAGCAGTTTGGCCGACGCCGGTCTCAGTCAGGAGATAAACATCGTTATCAGTTCTGAGAAGCAATCATTCTCCTGGAGTCTGGAAGAACATCTGGGATCAGTCATTCATGGTTCTGAGTGGAATATCTTCAACGAAGGATCTGAAGCAGGCATGACTTTTTCTGGGTCGGTCGGGGGGAACCTGGCCTTCCTGATGTCCATCAGACTTCCTGTTTATCAGAGGACGCTGTGGGACGTGCTCGGATTTGATGAAGTGTCAAACATCGATGATGTTCAGTTTTTGAACTTCTCTTCTGCTGTTGTCTACACAAAAAACACGGATGGCTATGACTACCAAATACCAGCTCATCTTCTGGAAGACAGTATCATGTTCCATCTTCCAGCATTTAGCATCACTCTGCCTTCCTGGCTGAAAGAAATCCCTCACTCCATCAGGAATATCGATATGAGATTAGAAGATGTGGTGGTCCCAGATCAGGTCCAACTTCCTCCTGCAGTCCTCGTTCCTGCCTTTCATGTCCCGTTTACCAGCTTGGATATAGAGTCCTTCACAGTGGATCCAAAGAACCTGAACATCCCTAAACTGATCACCACCAAAGCTTTCAACATCAAGCTCCCCGGCCTGCCTGTCATATCAGTGCCCAGTTATGACATTAACACTGAGTATCTCCGGGACAAGATGTCCTTCCTGTCCTTCAAGATTCCACAGTTTGACATCAGAGTGTCTCCTTTCACCTTACCCAAATCCATCACCATTGGAGATCTCACCATCAGTCTGCACAATATCACGAGTCACATCTCAAACTTCAAAATGCCTACGATGGTCATCCCAGAACAAAGAGTGGAAATCCCAGAAGTTGTTCTACATCTTCCTTCTAGCATCTTCATCCCATCCTTTGGTACCCTAAGTGCCACTTTAAATATTTCCTCTCCTATCTACAAAGTATCAACTACTGTCTCTGTGAGCAACAAGGACCCTGTCCTCGAAAGTTCCGTCAGCTCCAGCTGCACGTCCACCTTGGTCTTCATGGAGTATGATCTCACTGGTAGGACAGACATGATTCCTCTATGGTCCCTGAAATATCTTCTCTCATGTTCTTATCTCTGGTTGTTTTTCCAGCCTCTGCAGTTGTTAGATATGACGATGAGATGCTTCAGCTAAATGGGAACGGCAGGTTGACCCACAAGGATGGAAACATGAACTGGCAGTATGTGTTGGACCGTCCACTCAGGTTGGTGTTTGACGTCATGACTCCCTGCTCTGCTGTTAGCTGTAGAGGAATGAATTGGGATAATCTCTCCCAACAGTAATCATTATTACCCAACATATTCTGTATCTCTTTGGGGAGAATAATCCAAACTATCCTCATTACGACGAATGTCCTTCATCTAGTCTAGCAGTTCTCAACGTGGGCGGTACCGCCCCCCAGGGGGCGTTCAGAGGACGGCAGGGGGCGCTGGCAGAAATTTTTACAAAAGGGGGGCGCTGGGATTCCTTTGGGGGGCGTTTGGTCGAAGGTAAACTTTACACCTTATATGCACAACAATACCAGTTTAGACTTTGAGCAACTTGGTAAAACTGTATTGTGTAACATTAAACCATGCTTGGCTGCAACTGTATCGATGGCAGCTCTTCTTCTCCTTCTATTCAGTGTTTGTAGCTTCTGGCGCAGCTCCGCTCCTGCTACCCTGCCCTGCATGAATAGGTGGGCCCCATGTGGGGGAAAGGAGGGCTGACATATGCTTCCCATATGCATTTGTCCACGGGTTCCACAGTGGCCCCACATGGGTTTGCCCATATAGGACCACAGCCTACGTGGGCCCTAAATGGGAAAACCCATGTGGGCCCACCCAATATGGGGCCCACCTAGGCATGCTGGCCGGGATGTTTCTGTCTCATACTTGTATGGCAATAAAAGGACCTGGAACTTTTGTTTTTCCACTGAAAGCTCTGGGTTGCACACTAAATGCCATGTGGGTGAAGTTTTATGGATGATACTCTGATGTCCCATTCTCCTGAAGGCAGCACAGAGCTGCATCACCAGAAACCGACAGAAACACTGAAGAGAAGAAGAGCTATGATTAATGTAGTTACAGTTCTATCCATGTTTTAATGTTGCAGAGCTCAGTCGGTTTCCAAATAGATCAAAGTTTAAACTGTCATTTTGTTCATCTTTTATCTGCTCATTTTGTGGAATATTTTACAACTAGAAAATGGCACAGAACAAGAATATTTTTTCCACTCTGATTGGCTGCTGTTAGGCCTACTGATTTTAACTTGAATGTTCATTGCATTTTTCATAGACGCCTGTAAAAATAATTTCTATTCCCATTATTTTTTTGTTCTCTGGGAAATTATTTTTGATGATAAATACAGAAACAAGCATACAAATCAAAACATCTACAATAGTGATAGTAATATTAATAATAAAATAATAGTCAGTGCAAAGTAGCCTACAAATTCTTTGGTGGGGGGCGGTGAGGGACCTGGATAAAGGCTAGGGGGGCGCTGGCCCAAAAAAGGTTGAGAAACACTGGATTAAGCCTTATTTCCACTGTGTAGTTCAGAATGCTATTTTGTCTGTTTCCATTGTAAAGGCGACTTTTGCAAAAGACTCATATCACACCATTCCTGGGCCACCTTCCGTTGTAGGTCCATAGGACAATGTTACAGTCTGTTTGGGGTGGAGCTACTGATCCCTTACCAAGTCGCATCAACCTGTACTTGAACTGCATTCCCCCTTACCAAACCGCACTGATCTGTGCCATACCATTCAGTGTAGACAAGGAATTAAACGTTACAATCCTGACTCTGTTTCATACTACACATTTTACTCCACTCACACAATAAATCCTGCCTGGTTCTGACCTTTTAAGGAAGAACTTTGCACATCAAGACTGTAATGTTCTGCCTACCTGCAGCAAAAACATGTTCAATCTGATTTCTAATCCCCTCTGGGAAGACTCCACTCATGGCAAGAGCTGCATTTTAACATGTTTCCACTGTTTCATTAATAAATGATCAAACTTTAGCTTTACTCACATGTTGCTGAGAATGTATTGCTCACAGATAAAAAAAAAGAGCAGGAAATAATGAAACAGTTATGTTACTTTGTGGAGGTCATGTAACTAATTAAAACACTGCTATTGGTGAGCATCATTTAATGAGGTCCAGTCAACATGGGGTAGCTCTGTGGCTGTGACCTCATTGATGGTTCTCTGGTTCCTGACATTTGCAGGGAACCTCAGGTCAACAGTCTATAATTACAGATGTCTCACCTGAGCAGCGGTTCTTCTCCCTGCTGGACCCGCTCTAACTGTGGTTGTTTCACAGGGAGTCTCGTCATACCCTAGATGTCGACATCACCAGCCGGGTGTTCACAGACGCAAGTGTCCGTTGTGCCTCCCGTAAGGACAGCATCACAGCATCCGTGTGGTCTCCGTCTGCCGGGTTCCTGGGTATTCACCTTCAGCGAAGGTCTTCGTCACAGCTGCAAGGAAAAGTGTTTAGCAGATATCTAGTAAGCCTCTCTGATGCTCACACTTCCTTTCTAACCACACTTTGACGTTGCTGAGGTTGTTTCTCCTCTCCTCTTCAGTCCACTCCTGGGCAGGACACCAACATTCTCACTGCCAAAGCATCGCTGAGGAACTCGGACAAGCTGGTCCTGCAGACATCATGGAGTTGGGACTCTGTCAACGATCTGATCATGGGTTTCAAGGACCGGATCCCTCTAATGACCAATGCTCTGATCAAGTTCCTCAACAAGTACCACACCTCACACTTTGGCTTCGACCTGAACCGAGGTTCTGTGAAGCTGAGAAACGCTGTGCTCAATCTAATAGAGAAGATTCACCGGGAGTTTCAGGATTTTGTCAGCACGATGCAGGACTCAGTCCAAACCACTGCTGATCGAGGAAAGGACACCTATATGAAAGCTTCTGACATCCTAAGGTTCACCGATATGTTGAATCTTACAGACATCCTGATGGATGAGGTCAGAGGTGGCCTCAAGCACACCTGGCACAGTACAGACGTTCTGCTATGTCCGGTCAGAGACTTCCTCAACAATAAAACCTTATCTGTTCCTGGATCAGGGGAGAAGATGTCCATGATGGAGATGTTTTCCAGCGTCATGAAGGGGATTTCTGAGCAGATCAGGTGGGCGGCATTCACCATTCCCGGGACTGATGTTGTTCTTGATGGAAACAAGATCATGGAGACTGTGAAGAGAGACGTAGTAGCTATGGTCCATCATGTCATGGAGTTTCTTCAGAGGACCCTTAAAGATGTGTTGCAGCTCCTGGCTGAGAAAGCAGAGCATCTCCGTGTTTACGTAGAAGATCAGAACCTGAAGCTTTCCCCACTGGTCCAATTAGTTCACAGGAAGATCGGAACCTTCTCTAGACAGCACACAGACCAAGCACAGACATTTGTCTCTGCATACAAAGACCTTGTCCAACTGAAGGTCCATGAGGCTTACAGCGCCTTCAGCATGGAGAGAGTGAACAGCGCCACCAAGGGTTTCATCAGCACATTACAGTCTAATCTCTCTCAGACAGTTAGCGAAAGTCTGAACGTGATGAAGACGGTGTCTCAGAGTGCTGCGCCGCACATCCGAGTGGGGAAGGAGAAGCTGGATGTAGAAGTTCCTCTCCCTTTCCTCTGGAAGTCCTTCAGTGAATGGCCAACTCTGCTCAGACCCTGAACGCCCAACCAATCATTGTCTAACCCTATCCCTCACATCCAGGTTCCTCCAGGTCCCTGTTGGATCGTGTTGGTACATTATCCATGTTTTTATCTTTGGCAGAATAAATAAATAGAATGATGAGAACATGTGTTCCAGTTTTGTCTCATGTTTCTAAAACTGTACAGTCCAGTAATCTTCAGGATGATTTTCTGTACGAGTCTGTTTCAGTTTTGTAATTTATGCATTTTAGGGTCTTTTTTGGTAGATTTAATGGACCTTTAATGAACAATGAGTAGTTCCTTACGCAAGTATTCACAGCTCTACATTTTTCCACAAGTTTTTAAAATTTTTCCAATCCCACACTTCACTGTCAGATAAAGACAAGTCTACTTATAGCGCCCCCTGCTGGGTGGAGGGTGTTGCGTGGGAAATGCTTCACCTCAGTTCTGGTTAAAGTTTTCAATTAAATAAAATAAACTGAAACAGCTTCAAAAACATTCCAGATGTTATTTATCGTCGTGTTGGATTGGAGAGGGTGTTCTGTCAGATAGTCATCGCTTAGCTCAGACATGTATAAGCAGTTATTACCATATGATTTTATTTAATCATCAACATAGAATCATGACGTAGATCATCATACATGTTATTAACAGCTGTGTGACATCCTGACTTAGCCGTTAAGTAGGTTAATGAGTTTTACACGGTGTGTTGTTTATTGACTGCAGCTGCAGCCAGACCAGCTTTAAATACACTTTGAAACCACGACAACGCATCTATATCTATCTAGTTATCATATTATGTGATATTATAGACAATTTAATGACTTATTTTCGTCATAACTTGTGCTGAACTGAACTCCGCTGCATGTATGCTATCGTTTGGCTAACAGATAGAGAACAGGCGCAAGTACACAACCATGCTGATGACGTAGACGGTGCGTAGTCATTCAGTAAAGCTCCAACTGTTATTTCTCTCCAAAACTGTTTGGGTTTGTGGAGAAAAATAAAATGATAGGTCAAGTTTCGGAACACAATATGGAGAACCGAACCAGAACCAAACCGGTGTTACACCGGCATCCTAAGATTTTTTTTTTTTATATATATATATATATTTTTTTAGCTCTTTACCAGTAGGGGGCGCATCTGATATCCAGTTCTTCTTTCAGAAACCTTTGCGCACCTCTCAGTGCTCCATGGAAACGTCAGCTTTGTGGGAAACACGTGACCATGAGCTGGATTTTCTGCTAGTCCAGAGGTCCCCAAACTGTGGGGCGCGCCCCCTAGGGGGGGCGCCGTGTCATTGCAGGGGGGGCGCGGGAAGACGTCTGGATGAAAAAAACAAAACAAAACATGAACACTGTATGCGCTCGGTTTTTACCTTAGAATGGCCAACTCTGTTATTCCTATGTCAATTTGACACAGTAGAGGCTTCCACACTTCCCATATTTGTGTCCTCTGTCACTTTTATCAGCAGTTAAAACTGTTTAATCCGTTGTTAACATGTTGTAACCTGTTTTTCCGAGCCGCCTATAAACGCAACATGAGCGCTACGACGCTCGCGCTGGGTTTCCACCTGTGAAGGAGACCTGCTGCTGCTGGGCGGAGCTACGTAGGTTTGTGTTAGAATAGTCTAACATCAATTGATTAAATCCAGAATCTTCTGACTTCGGCACTTTTGGTTCTGACGGCAGAAATTCCGAGTCTCTGCTGCGCCTCAAACGCAGCAACGCAACAACTTAGCTAGCCAATCAGAGAGCAGTAGAGAGCGGAAGAAGCGCTCTGATCGATCATGATCGATGACCAGCTCGTTTGACCGTATTTACCAGGTAAGCTCTACAAGATTGGCTGAGCAGACTCCGGGTGGACCGGTCCAAACGCCAGGTTTCCTCCAGAACCGGGAGAACCTCTGGGTTGGTGCTGTTAGACATGGTGATGCGTTCAGGGACAGTTTCGCTACTTTAGTTTCTTTCTTCTGTATTATTTATTTAGGGAATATTGTTCTGTAGCAAAATCAGAACCAGAATCAGAACCGTAACTGACGGCCAAGGAGAACATACTGTTCCAGGAAGAGATCCGGTTCTTGTACAAGAATCAATCCAGAATTCACAGACGAATAAAAGCTGATAACATCAGATCAAAGGTTCATTCAGTAATCTGCTGGAATAACGCGAACCTTTAACTCCATCATTTCTCTCTGGTCCAAAGTCTCCTGGTGAACCCGGGAGTCCAAACCCGTCCAGAACCTGTCTGGATTCAATAAATGAATCAATACCATGATCAGGTTCTGCAGAGAATCTGGTCCAAAGACGACAACGTCCGTTTGAAAGCGAAAACTTTAAGAGTTCCGACCGATCAGAACACCGGACTAACGGGAGGTTCTGGTTCCGGCAGGCCCAGGATGGAGACCCAGTCAGAGTTTTTCTTCTGCAGCGGAGCAGCCACCGAGGTTCTGAAAGTCGGTTCTTTTCAGCTGTCAGGAGAAAAAGTGCTGCTGCTCCTCATCCCAGGTGGGTCAGAACTTCCTGCTGGGGGTCCAGATCAGCTGATCCAGTACTTCCTGTCCCCACAGGAAACCCCGGGGTCGTGGGCTTCTATGAGAGCTTCATGCGGACGCTGCACGGCCTGCTGGGAAGGCCCGTCTGGGCGGTGAGCCACGCCGGCCACTGCGCTCCTCCGGACTCCATGGACCTCGTAGAAGGTAGGTCCAGTTCTGGCCTCAAAACCTTGTTGGTCCGGCCTGGTTCTAGCAGCAGAAGTGGGTCGGACCCGGTTCTGATGGTTATGTCTGCTTGGGGTCCAGATGGTGCGGCGGCGGCGCGACAGGACGTGTTCGGTCTGGACGGACAGATCCGACACAAGCTGGCTTTCATCCAGGACCGGGTCCCCAGAGGAACCCGATTGGTTCTGGTGGGCCACTCCATTGGCTGCTACATGATCCTGGAGATGATGAGGAGGAGCCCCGAGCTGGAGGTCGGGAACCGGAACCAGAACTGGGTCAGGTCCGGGTCGCGCTGACCCGTCTCGTCCTCCTGCAGGTCCTGAAGGCCGTGCTGCTGTTCCCCACCATTGAGCGGATGGCCCAGAGCCCGCAGGGAAAGGTCATGACCCCGGTGCTGTGCCAGCTGCGCTACCTGGCCTACCTGCCGCTCTTCCTGATGTCGCTGCTGCCGCAGCGCGTCGCCGCCCTGCTGCTCCGTCTGCTGCTGCGCGGCGTGCCGGCGCTGGACCCATGCGTGCTGCGGCCGTCGCTGGACATGTTCTCTGGAGACTGTGCAGGTGGGTTCTACCGGGTCTCTGCGAGCGGTCAGCATCTTTCTCTGTATCACGCAACCTCCTAAATCTAGTGGTCTGGCTTTTACCATAATATTTTTACTGCAAAAACACAAAATTTCAGCAAATGTCTAGTTTTTAATATTTCAAAAGACTTGAATTAAAAGAAAACCAACTTAAAACTAAGCTGTCAGCAAATGAAGAAGCTTTTCCTGATTATTTAAAAAATGCAGCGGCAGATTTTGTCACAAAGTTATTTGCCGTCAGAAACGTTCCAGTTGTTTTATCGATACGCAGGAACAGTGACTGTTTCTGATATGACATGAATACTAGACCCTCACTGAGCGCTGAGTCCTGCGTTACGTCGCCGCCATCTTGCATGTGGCAGCAGAGGATCGGAGCTCCTTAAGTCCTGTTCTGTGTGTTTCAACCGTTTTACGAAACAAACTGGATTCATTGGCATTACCTTTCACAGGTAAGGATGAAAGATCAGAATTACTTTGCAGCCAGAAATTCGCTTTTAAACAACCGAGAAATATTTCCTATGTAGCTAAATTAGCCCGAAATAACCGCTGATTGTTAGCTTAGCAGCTAAAGTTTTCATACTGTTTTCTAATGAGAGAGCTGATGAGAAACCGCTGTTGGAGGAGAAGTTAATTAAAAACCAGAGGATTTAGTGAGGAAAGATCAGTCAGGGTCAGAGCTGGAGCTGTTGTTCTTCAGTCTGTTTCCAGCTCAGCTTCACCATGTCGGTATTTAGCTATAAAGATGCTACGAGTCAGAGCCCAACATGCTGAAAATGTCTTTTTCTGAATGTGGAGGAAACATATATTTTCTATTACACTTTTGGATAATTTCTCTTTTATCCTTGGCTTTAGCCTGTGAACCAGGATGTCTCAGAAGTCATTGAGTTCTCCCAGTGTGACCAGCAGACTGAAGACCTGCCTTTGACCAGTGTTCCCAGTATAATAAATAAATGTTTTATTCTTTCACTTTTTGTGTATTTTTAAATATCTCAATCTGAAGTATTAGTGTATTAATACAGCTATGTAATGAAATAAAAATAATTTACTGTTAGAATTATTTTCACTCTTTGCTGTCAATAGCAGAGTTGACATACTGTAATAAATATTTTTTCTCTGGAAATAAGAAAAATATGTAGTTTAATGTTTGACAATGACTGATT